ATTTTCTTACTTTTCTATGAACATCTAATTCACATAAACAACTTAAAATAAATAATCCATCACAAATAATATCCAAATCAACATAATCTATATGAATTGATTTTTGCTGTCCTACACGTCTTAAATATCCTTTTTTTTTTAAAAGAAAAAAAGAAAACAAAAGTTTTTATTTAAAAACTAAAAAAACAATTTTTCTATCTACCAGTAATCGATGGTATAATTCCTTGATCACATAAATCAATTTGTACACGGTCATCTCTTGTCGATAAAAGACTACGAAATAATCGAAAAATACATTTTAATTGTGATCGTTTATTATTTCGACCACCTTTTCCAAAGAAACTATTTCCTTGACTTTGATATTCATCTTAAAAGAAAAAAAAAAAACATCTATCTTGAATTATTAATGAACAGAAAAAGAAAAAACCATTTTTACCATCACTAATTGCCCATTCATAAAACAATAAAAGTCTTGTTCCAACATGATAGTCAAAATATTCATTTAATGATCGTGGTAATAAAATTGAAAGAGCTGCAAGAGCATGTAATTGAAGATCTTCTGTTTGTGATAATGTCCATTCAAATACATTTCCTGGTTGAATTTTTCGTGGTAATGGTTCAATATAAGATAAAAAAGCAAGTAATACTCGACTATCGATCATTAACTAAAATGAAATCAATCTATTTTCAATATAAAAAACAAAAAAAGTGTTCCAAGAGTTTGAATAGAAATAATTTTCTAACAGTTCAAGTGATTTACATATATTTTCTTTCAGTAATTATTTAATATCATTCAAACTGTGACCGATCATGTACCATACTAATTTCACAAAAGGCTGAGCATGTGTTTAGTCATTGGATAAATTTCTATAGCACTTAATTTGTAGTTTTGGTTGTACAATTACACGAAACTTGAACTTAGTTATCACGAAAACTGTTGGTACTAGAGATGAGATCTGTTTGATTCGTAGGTTTTCAAATCGATCTCAGTTTTGGATCTGCTTGATTTTTAGAAAATTGTGCTTCTAATTCGTTTTAAATTTTGAAAAATATTAACGAATCCTGGAGGCACAAACATTTATTCGAAATATTTTGAATAAATCTTCAAAGAATAGACTATCAAATTATTACAAAAGAAAAATATATTAGTCTATGAATGTTTGTATGTTGTTCGAACTTTTAGAATATTTTATTAGATAACATACTTCATTTATCACAGGATTTCGACTAAGTACAACAACTGTATTGAAAAGTAATTTTTTTAATTCGAAATCTTCTTGTGATGTTGTTAATTTAAAATTTTTTACCAATGGATTATTACTTCGTACTAAATAATAATGAATAGATTATTATTGAATAATTTATTCTTCTTTAATTTACTTACATTCAGGATATGAAGCAAATAGAAGTAATTGTTTAGCAAAACCAGTTTCAACAAATGGAGCATCTGGTTTAAGACTAATAATAAGAGAACAAACGACAAGAATATCATTTCTAAAAATATTAAATATATATATATATATATATATTTTCTTCAATTAAAAAAAACAAAAAAGAAATTTAAACCTTAATTGACGATGATATTGACTATGACTTTGTGTTACTTGACCAAGAAATGCTTCTTGTAAAAGACTAAATATTAATTATAATAATAAAACTAAAATAAAAATAATAATATAACAAACCTTATAGTAACACGTGAATTAAGTTGTTCACTTATTTGTTCTTCATCACCATATTCAAATAAATTCCAAAGTAATTCAATTGTACGAAATAAAAGTCTAAAAGATTTCAGTTAAATATTAAATTTTAAAGCAAAAAAATAGAACTTTCGAAATCATATAAAATCAGTTTTTACATTTTATTTTATCAAGAAAAAGAGAATGAAATAAAAGTTCAATTTTCTTCATATTTAATCAACTATTTTATTGAACTCATATTATATTTTTCGAAGAAAGTATACAATAGACTTATTTACCAGTTAAATCAATAATAATAATATTAAATTAAGAAAAATGAAAAATAGAACGTCAGTGAAGAAAAATTCTGTTCGAAATACAGAAATGAAAAAAGTAGATCGTTTCACTACCTATCAATTACCTTTCA